AAACAGCAGCAGAGGGCTATATAGCTTCAGCCTCTAAGCTGGCTCCTTTGTGAAAGCAAAGAAAAAAAGCTGGAACTAGAGAGGGGAGCTCACTCCGTCATGCGGCACCCAGGTCTGCTGGTGCTGCTGTGCTAATTGGAAACAGCAGCAGAGGGATATTTAGCTTCAGGGTCTAAGCTGGCTCCTTTGTGGAAGCAAACTTGTCACCTCAATCATGCCTTGCGTGTACTCCACCTCCTGCTTCCAGACCTCATTCTTGCTCCTCTCCTCTGGCTTCTGACTCTGGCTTGAATGACCTTGCTCCTGGTTTGTGCTTTGGACTTTTGCTACTCTTCGCCGGCTTCTGGCTCTGGCTTGAATGACCTTGCTCCTGGTTTGTGCTTTGGACTTTCACTCTCGGTTCCTGCTCCACCCCTTTTGGCTCTAGACCTTGAACTTCCCTCTGCCTGCGCTCCAGACCTTAACACATATAGGACTTGGTAACAGTATGCAGGAGAGCTAAATGAAGATGCTAGCTCCAGCAAAGGCAAAACTACAAGAGCAATGGTGAGGAAGGCCAGGTCAGAGAAGCCATCAATTCTACTTTCCAGCTCTGAAAGCCAGAGAACCAGATTAGTTCACTTCCAAGGTGACAGAGATCCTTCTGATTACATCTCTACCATAGACTGGAAGAAAAGATCATAGCTTTAACATCTGCCACTCCAACCCACCTCCTACTTTGCAACCAGTTATCTTCTTTGCACTCCTACTTCCACCTCCTATGTTGCAACTAGTTATAACTTCTAGGACTGCACTTCATTTTGGTGATACGGTTTTCACACTGAAATTTGGTTTGTTTTTTTGCTTTCCAATTTATACTCAATTTATGTGAGAAGGCTTAGGGGAAAACTTTCAGATCTTTTTTGTACTACTTTTCCTGCCTTGTATCTTTTGGCAATGCTTTTTACAAACAAGGTCAAGAGAGCACATGTATCTAGGCACTATATATATCAAATGGGATGGTGTTACACGATGAAGCAAGTTGTTGCCATATTTCAGTAAATGAAAACATATGAACCAATTTAGCCAGGGAGCATGTCACTACATTGCATGGTAATACTAGCTGAAATGATGGAGTATGACTATACAAGACTGTACAATTAACAACAACAAAAATCAACAAATGCATTTTGCATCACAAAGTTTTAAAAATATATGATTTTGGCACACACCCATAATTGTACACTGAAAATTGCTTGTCTTGCAGTACCTTCCTTTTGCATATGCAGCATCAAAGAAGCACCAGGAAAAAATTAATTTGATACCTGTTTAGGCCTCATTATTTAGACAGGGGGAAATGTAGAATGAGAACAACCTTCTTCCAGAAACAATGAGTGGAGACATTTCCCAAATGTTCCATTATCCATAAAATATGACAGACTTTAGGCAGCTATAAGGATCAATGTCTTGACCTGTAAAGTATACATGCACAGAATATTCTTGCTTAAAACAATATCTGAACGTACACTTAAGTCATCTTCTTCTTCTTCTTCTTCTTCCTCCTCCTCTTCCTCCTGCTGTTCCACATCTTTTTGCATGCTTGGTCTTAACCAGAACCAAACCTCTCTGGGAAGTTCCAGGCCCTTCAAAATAAGAATAAAAGAGCTGCCTGAAGGAACAAACTTACAAGTTTCTCCTGTTCCTTTTGGTTGGCCCCTGAAAGGATGGAAAAACTCGGTGGCTGTCTCATCTCCACTTGCTGATGGCACCTCTTCCCTTTGCTCCTCAGGGGAGTGCTCCAAAACAAACTGTTTTCACCAGATGCCACCAATGATTGAGAGTGTGGCCCACTAAATGAAGCTGTACCTCTAGTGCTCTGTACCTGCACTGCTGTTTAAAGGCTCTGCCTGGTTGCCATACTTCCCCACTACACTCCTACCGGCAATCACAGGGGTAATCTATAGCAAATCTGAGCTACTGTACTATAGAATGGTGGGCTTCCCCACAACCTCTCCCCATTACCACACTTCATATTGCAAGACCAAATAGGTGTTGTGTTTTTCCAGAGATCAGGTTTAGAGCATTCAAATTATGATGTTTAATAAATGAATATATTACACATATTCTGTAGAAGCACTCAGACTGAGCAAGGAAACAAAGAAAAGGTGACAACAGGAAGCCTCCTTTCCCTAAACTCAGCACTTATCCTAAAGAAAGTTTATTTAGGGTAGACTAGCTTTACTTGAAGTTGTAGTTGTTTAAAGGTCAATATTACCTTAGTTTTCATGACTGGGACTTACTCCCATTGTCCCTTGCAGGTTGGACAAGTTGGAAAGCCCAGATTAAAACTTAGTCTGCCATGGCTTGTGCCCAATAGGGGAGCTGGAAGCTAAGAGAGCTTCCTCCTTCTGTTCCGCGTTTAAATAACCTTTCCCCTTGGGATGACCTTATGGTCACAAAGGAAGAGTTTGGATCCTACCTAGTTGGCTGTTTCTCTCTCTGTCCCTTTTGGGCATGATCTGGCAGCAGGGTGTGGAGTGCTAAACCACTGTCCTGCTTGATGGCTTCTCTTTCTAATCCCTTCCTTTTTGCCAGCTATAAGAACACACAAAATGTGGTCTCCATTAATGAAATACTGGGGTGAATTGTTGTGTGGAGGGTATTTCTCCACACTCATCTCTTGCCTCATTAGTTTCTTAGTCACCACTTGATATAGCAGCATAAAACATTTACTGAACATGATAGCCAAAATATCAAAGATGAATAAAAGAAAGATGGTGGAATAGTTTGCATATTAATAGTAAAATTAAAAAAAAATGTAGCAGGGTTAACTACAACAAGGATAATTTGCAATATGCAATTTTAAACATATTCAAAATGTAAAACGTTCTCTTGAAAAGTTATAGCCACCAATTCTGAGGCCTAAGTTTACATAGTGATGTGTGAATAAGGAGGTAGAATGGACTGCACCACTTTCAACCTGCAAGTGGTAGTGAAAATCTCCCTTACATGAAAAGCTCCCAGCAAATAGAAAACTGGTACAACAAGCAAAGAGAGGTGGGTGGAAGTTCTGCCCTCGATGCTAGTTTTCCATTTTTACGGGAAGGACATTTAATGCTGAAATCCATCACCTCAACCTGAAGTGGTACAGACCATGCGATTGCCTCAGCATTCCTTCCTTCCTTCCTTCCTTCCTTCCTTTCCAGTCTTTCTTGTCAAGAATTGTCCACTCCACTTTTCTGCATGTATGAACCAAGCCTAAACTGCACATTATTTACAGTCTGGCTTTATTGCATGAGAACAGCCATTAGCTTATGGACTCAAGTAACTAGGCAGGGGCATTTGGAACACCAGAAAAGAGTTGTTTCTTTTGTTTCAGCCTGTCAGAATTGACTTGCTAGCATGACACAATATGTAGGCTTAGAAACATTTTCCTGGATTTACTTG